GCTCGGATACAGTAACTACCGCAATTTGACCAGGATTTAAAAATTGCCACAAAAACTAAAGTGTAATCTTCTGCAGTGCCGACCAGTCTGGCTGAAGTTCAACGACTTTTGGGAGGTACCATCTTCGNGGTTAGGTCTGAGTTCGTAACCCTCCTTAAATCGATTTGTGACTATGTCTCTAATATTCTTTTTTCTCATTGTTTGTTGCGAGCTCATAAATGTTGTCTTTCAGACAGTCCCTGTCCTTTGATCCTGTAATGACTACGAGCTTCAGGTCTCACACTGTTCTCACTATTTTCAGTTACTTGGTTCGGATATGGTAACTATCGAAATTTGATCAGGATTTAAAAATTGCCACAAAATAAAGTGTTATCTTCTGCAGTGCCGACCAGTCCGGCTGAAGTTCAACGACTTTTGGGAGGTACCATCTTCGGAATAAGGACGCGCCATAACTCAAGCGGTTACTCGCTGGCTTCCAACCGCGGCGGTCCGGGTCTGGTCAAGTGGGATTTGTGGTGGACAAAGTGGCGCTGGGGCGGGTTTTCTCCGAGTATTTCGGTTTCCCCTGCCAATCTTCATTCCACCAAATTCTCCATCATAATAATCACCCGGGACAGGTACAATGGGCCAATCAGTGGCCGCCGTGCCGAATGGACCCAGCAGAACTCCACCACCCACTATGCGAATTAAAAAAAATCTTCGGCATTAATAGTAAGCCAAGCACGAAGCAAACGAGAAGTAGGCAGCAAACCTCAAATCCAACACAAGAATATGGAGCCTGTTAAGCCCGCTAATTCTAGCCTCGCACTGCTACTGTCATGGATTCGGCCAGTTGGAAAATGGGAGCATGACCAGCGCAAACATGTTCCCCTTTGAAATTAACAGAATGAGCTGGGATGCGGGTTACGTCTTGCGTTTGAGAACCTAAGACGAACTTGTGGTTCCTTCAGTATCTAACGCCATTTTAACTGCAATAGTTGATGAGCTGGAAACAAGCCCACGAATGTTCAGTAGAAAAGGGTTTTACGGTGAGCAATGCCACTCTGTTCACTTGTAGAATCTGAAGAAAATGACATACCGCCAAGACTCAACCCTGGTATTTCTAGTGAATAAATGTGTCTAGAAGCGCTACAGCTAAGCCACCCTGCTAGGTTTCCAATGCAGTTACAACCTAGGACTAATCCTTAGGACAAACTTATTATATTGCCAGTAAAGCTACTAAACAGATAACATGCTAACACGTGTATAACCCTATCTCTATTAACAAGGCTTAGCACTACCGTTGCCAGCTGATGCTCAACACTAGCGCTCACTGTCTTGCATAGCGATAACAGAGCAAACTACATATGTGAAGCTCGTCTTCATTCAACCTCTGCCAACGACCACTCCCAACAGAACATCAGAGTAGCAAAGTCTGCAGGGATACAGATATATAAACAGGTAAATTGGAAAATATGTTGTTTAATCCTTATGCTTTCTTAGTACGATCTACAGGAAGCGTGGACTTTGTTCTAGTACATAACAAAAAGTCCGAGTCCGTTAACATATGGGACTAAGTTCTTCAGTTTACTATATAATATAACCGAGGACTATAAAATGGAAAGCATGACACTTAAGTATCTATGAATACTATACATTTAATACACTTCACACTCTGCGTAGCGCAAATCAATAAGTGGCGTGATTAAATTAACTTTAGCTTCTCTTCTGGAATCAGTACGAAACTTTCTCTGTCGCTGCAGGAGTTGGATGCTGATACGGCGCTGGGAAGGACAACGAAGAGAAATGTAAAGAAAATGCAGAAAGAAGATTTCATAATTTGTTTCTTCCATCAAATATTGAAAGAAAGATCAAACCGTGGGGAACGGAATGACGAAAGGAGTATTTTTTTTATTGCTAGTGGGGTGGGACTAAGTTCCTTGCACTGCGGCCACTTCTGGCCCATT